ACCTCCTGATGATTGTGGCACACCTGGGGACTGCATCACACCTCCTGGTGATTGCACCACACCTCCTAACGACTGTGTTACACCTGATAACTGTGTCACACCTCTTGATGACTGCATCACACCTCCTGATGATTGTGTTATAACTCTTAGCGACTGCATAACACCTCCTGATGATTGTGTTACACCTGATGACTGTGTCACACCTCCTGGTGACTGCATCACACCTCCTGGTGACTGCATCACACCTCCTGATGATTGTGTTAAACTTCCTGATGATTGTGTTATACCTCTTAGTGACTGCATCACACCTTCTGATGACTGTGTTACACCTGATGACTGTATCACACCTCCTGGTGACTGCGTTACACCTGATTGTGTTACACTTCCTGATGATTGTGTTATACCTCTTAGTGACTGCATCACACATCCTGATGACTGTGTTAAACCTGATGACTGTGTCACACCTTCCAGTGCCTGTATCACGCCTGATGACCGTATCAAACCTCCTGGTAACTGCATCACATCTCCTGATGACTGTTTCACGTATCTTGGTAACTGCCCCACTTCTGGTGACTGTGGCACATCTCCCAGCAGTGGTGGCACATCTTGCAGTGACTGCAGCACATCTTGTAGTGACAGTGGCATGTCTTGCAGTGACCATGGCATGTCTTGTGGATAGGACAGGTTTTGAGGTCGGCCTGGAACATTTTGAGGTAGGCCCAGAGTGTCTTGGGGTGGGTAAAGTGGGTGTTGAGGATGCCATGATAAATTCTGATGTGTGCTTGGCATACTCTGCTGAGGGCATGGCACATCTTGAGGAGGGCATGGCACTTCTTGAGGTGGATGAGGCAAAGCTTGGAGTTGGCACTGCACAGTTTGTGATGGGCATGACAAGGCTTGTGATGGACATGACAAAGTTTGTGGTGGACACGACAAGGCTTGTGGTGGACATGAGGAAGCTCGTGGTGGACAGGGTGAAGCTCTTAGTGGGCATGCTAAGGCTTGCAGTGGGCATAGCAAGCCTTGTGGTTGGCAAGGCACATCCTGCTGTGGGCATGGCAAAGAGGCCCTCTGATTGCTGCTGCTACTGTTATTGCTTGTTGAGGAGAAGGAGCTAACATCTGAAGAGAGCTGTAGGCTTGTCAAGAAGCTGAGGTCACCTTTGTACGTGATCGAGCTACAGTTTGGCTCTGGTGGATAAACAGAGTCCTGGCTAATAGATGTAGGGGGTCGAGAACCTTCAAACATGTTTTCTTCTAACAAATCCAGATCTACAGGATCATTGTGGACGATTCTCTGTGTTGCAGGCTGAGAGTCTCTGTCTCTATGGGCTTCCGTTACCTCTTTGCCTGAAAGACTGACACTTGTCTGAAGACAGGGTGGCTCCTTCTGAGAGGAAGCTACAGGTTCCAAAGTCAAATCAAAAGTGGCAATAGGTCTATTTTCTTCCTCACTTCTTGTTAGATCAATCACACAAAGTCCATTACGATCTTTTGCCCTTGTTCTGGTCTCCCTAGTTAGGTCAATGAAGTCCTGTTAAAGATGGGAGAAGAGAAGAGTGAGAGAAGGGCACATTAACTTTATTTGAGAAGACTGAGGTTTTAGCTTTTAACGATGAACATCACTTTACTTTTTTATCTCATTGGCATTTCTATATATACTCGAAGTGCTAGTGATTGAACCTAGAGCCTGGTGCATGCTGGGTAAATAATTTCCCTCTGAGCTATATCTCAAGCTTTCTATGCATCTTCTATAACATAAATATTAGTTTTATTTTCTTTAGTTAACATTTTGCTAATGTGTTGTAGAATACTATTTTTACTAGGCAAAGATGTGTTACATTTGTTTATGCTACAGAATATTATTTTAACGGTGTAAACGTGTGTTACAGTTGTTTAATGCTATATTTGTTTAACAATATAAGGATGTGTTACATTTGTTTGAGCTGCATGTTTAACTATGTAAAGATGTGCTTCTTTTCTTTCCTTTGTTTTTCGAGACAGGGTTTCTCTGTAGTTTTGAAGCCTGTCCTGGAACTAGTTCTGGTAGGTCAGGCTGGCCTCAAACTCACAGAGATCAGTCTGCCTCTGCCTCCTGAGTGCTGCTGGGATTAAAGGTATGCACCACTATCACTGGGCACTTAAAGATGTATTTCATTTGTTTCACCTTGCCTGCCTAAGACACCTGATTGGTCTAATAAAAAGCAAACAGCCAACAGTTAGGCAGGAGAGGGATAGGTGGGGCTAGCAGGCAGAGAGAATAAATAGGAGGAGAAATCTATACTATAGAGAGAAGGCGGAGAGAACAAAGGAGAGAGGGACACGCCCAGGGTCAGAAGCCAGGCAGCCAACAGCCAGATATGGAGACATCAGGAAATTAAGATATACAGAAAGTAAGGAAGGTTAAAAGTCCTGAGACAAAACATAGATAAAGAGAAGCAAATTAAAATAAGAGCTAAGGTAAGGCTGAGCATTCATAACTAATAATAAGTCTCTGTCATGATTTGGGAGCTGGTTGGTAGAAAAGAAAGCCTAGTGCACTAATTTCAAATCTGTCAACTTCTATACATCATAAATTATCCAAATGCCAGATGTATGTGAGAATGTGATGTGCTTTTTTAATTTTCTGATCCAAGAAAGACAGGTGAATAGTAGAGAATATTCCATCCTTCACAAACAGAAAGCAACCTTTACTTGAAAAACAAATTTCCAGAATAATCTGCAACAGAAGCTAAGCAAGATGGTAAGTTAATATGAGGACCTTGGTACTAAGATACATTGAGTGTTTGTCACAGGATTCAGGAGTTCCCAAAAATACCTAGTTTCATCAAAGAAGGCTTTCAAGGATGGACATATAAATAGGAATAAATTTATTGGGAACAAATGCAAAAGTACACTCCTAAAACGGAGAGAAAAGTAGGCAACTTAGCTGGATAATTGAATTTTTAAGGGTTAGAGAAAAAAAATCTTCCATTTATCTTATGCATTTGTAAGTGTAATTTTTTTCTGGAAACTGGGAGGGCATTTTGAGAATCACAGGAGAGGTTTGACTAAACATAAAATGTTTAGAGTCCTGGGCAGCATCTATATGTAAGTACAGCTATAATTAAATGCTAAGAGGTTGAAGGGGCTTTTGGGTCTCTAAATCTCCTATAGAGCACAGCTAACTACCCTTGCAGAACACACTATGTTGTGCAGTCTGTATCTGGATGAAGCCATAACCATCAGGTTAAATTTACATGTAGTGGGGCTGGAGATATAGCTCAGTAGTTAAGAGCATTGGCTACTTTTCCAGAGGACTGGGTCCGACTCCCAGCATCCATAGAATGGTTTACAAGCCTCTCTAGTTCTAGTCCCAGGGGACTGGATCTTTGGTCTCCACGGACATAAGACACATAGCTGATACACAGACACAGGCAAAACACCCACACATAAAATAAAATTAAAAATATTTACATTCCATTATCTTGTCTCCCTGATTACTCATGTCATTTTTCTATGATTTCTTAAATTTTCACAGTGCTACGCAGGATGGTATTACCATTTCCATTATATACATTCAAAAATTAGTTTTGAGGGACCAGGTTACTTACCTAAGGATTCTACAGCTAAGTAGTAGGGGCAGATATTCAAATCCAACTTTCTGTCTTTCCTGTTGAATACCTAGGGATGCATTAACTTTTTCCAATATGTAATCAGCTTTACTCTTTTCATTTTTACTTTTTAAATGAGTTATTTATTCTTATTTTGTATGCATTGGTGTTTTGCCTGTGTGAGAGTGTCAAATCCCCTGGAACTGGAGTTACAGACAGTTGTAAGCTGCCATGTGAGTGCTGGGAATTGAACTTGGGTCCTTTGGAAGAGCAGCCATGCTCTTAACCACTAAACCACCTCTCCAGCTCCCTGTCTTTGCTTTTTTGAGACAAGATCTCACTTTGTAGCTCTGGCTGACCGGGAACTCATTGTGTAGACCAGACTGGTCATGAACTGACAGATATCACCTTGCTTCAGTCTCCTGAGTGCTAGGATTAAAGGCATGCACCACCACACCTCACCCGTGATCAGCTTTAAAAGAGATTGTTTTTAAAACAGTAAGGGGTAGGTATAAAAGCAATGGTCTGAGTTTTAACTAATGGAAAAACCACTAATCTTTATTCCCATTCCTCAACAGGTTGATCAAATTATAAGTTGATGCCAGCCAGAGGTGTTGTCACCACCTGTTGTGTCATGAGCCTGGAATAACACTATGTTGGTCTCCAGAAGTCTTCTCACCTGATTAGGTACCATCACTATTGGTATATTATGGTCTGGCAATGTAAATTATAGCTACTATAGTCAGCATACAATTTCTCTC